AAATGCTACTGACAGGTGTCTAAACAGAAGAAATCCATCAGATATCATGAATAACCAAGGAAACAAGGCAGCTGAGAAAACAAACTAGAAAATAAACTTAAATACATTGACACCTGTAATTTAAATAACAAGAATTAAAAATTGCAGTTTTGAAAAAAAAATTAAATGAAATACAAGAAAACAAAGCTAAGCAGCTTAATAAACTAAGAAATAAAATCAACAGAGGCTCATGCTCACGTTCTCTCTCTCCCTCTCTCTCTCTCTCTCTCTCTCTCTCTCTCTCTCTCTCTCTCTCTCTCTCCACCTGTGATCTCCCTCTGTAGCCCCAGGTGTGCTCCGTAATTTCCAGGTTCTACTTCTCTACCAAAAAAAAAAAAAAAAAAAAAAAAAGGAATTTTTGGAAGAAGACTCCCTGTATTACTAATTTGAAGATAATTCGCCAAGATGGCTGTGGAGTAGGTGGAAGCTACACACACACCACCTCCCAGTATCAGACTTGATTTACAGCTAAATATATAGATGATCAGCCTGAATCAGCCACTGAAAACACACCTGAATAAGAGTATTACACCAAAGGACTCACAGAAGAAGCTACAAGGAGACTGGTAAGCAGGGAGGAAGTGAGGTGAGGGCTAGCTGATAAGCTTGAGGGATATCTTGGCGGCAAAAGTCCCCCTGAGGAGAGTGGGATCTCAGCTCCACGTTGGGAGGGCCAAGGGCAGGAAGAAGAGCCCACAACACCGGGTATCAAACTGTACTACTAAGCCATTCTAATAGAAACAGCCTGGTGCAGGGACAAGAGAGCCCAGAAATCAGCCCACATCATTATGGCCCAGTGATTTTTGACAAAGGAGGCAAAAGCAAGCAATGGAGTAAAGACAGTCTCTTCAATGAGTGGTCTTGGGAAAATTGGGCAAATACGTACAAAAGGGTGAAACTAGATCACCAACTCACACCACACAAGAATAAACTCAGGTCTTCATTACCTTACTGCATGTCCATGGGCTGTGCATATAAGCATGTAAGTTCTTTGGTTTATCTCTTCTCATCCCCCCAACCCCACATCGAGGTATGTCAGTCTGCTCCATGTCTCCTTCAGGTCTTTTTTATTTTTTTTTAAATATATTTTATTGATTTTGTACAGAGAGGATGAGAGAGGGATAGAGAATTAGAAACATCGATGAGAGAGAGTCATCGATCAGCTGCCTCTTGCACACCCCCTACAGGGGATATGCCCGCAACCACGGTACATGCCCTTGACCGGAATCAAACCCAGGACCCTTCAGTCCCCAAGCCGACGCTCTATCCATTGAGCCAAACCGGTTTCAGCTTTTTTTTTTTTAAATATGTTTTTATTTATTTCAGTGAGAAGAGAGGTATAAACATCAACGATGAGAGGGAATCACTGATTGGCTGCCTCTTGCATGCTCTACACTGGGGATTGAGCCTGCAACACGGCCATACACCCTGACCAGGAATTGAACCGGAACTCCTGGTTCATAGGTAGACACTCAACCACTGAGCCAAGCCTTTCAGGTTTTATTTTGTTGGTCAATTCATTTTGTTCATTAGTTTCCACAAGTAAATGAGATCATGAGATAGTTGTCTTTCTCAGACTGGCTTATTTCACTTAGCACAATATCTTCCAGGTCCATCCTGCTGTCCCAAAGGGTAAGAGGTCCCTCTTTCTTATAACTGCACAGTATTCTGTAGTGGGAATGTCCCACAGCTCTCTTAGGTCCTGAACTTAATTTGTAACATTTTCTCCTATGCACATACTTCAGGTGCATGACTTGCAGTTTTGTTTTGTTGTCTCTCTCAATATCTTGTAAGAAACAGGATAGGGCCAGTTTGAGCTGGTTCTTAAATTACAAATTCACCTTTCTGTTCATTTCTCAATTGTGCAGAATAGGGACAGTCACTGCTCTAGCTGCTTACTGCAGATAAGGGAACAAAGGATGTGATTTAATTCTTAAAAAAAAAAAAAAAAAGTTCAAGAAAGCATAACAAAGTAGAATGCTTAGGGCCGTACAAGCAAATGTCACCATCAGGAAAGCACAGCACAGTGTTTAAACCAAAACAATAGCAAGTTAAAATGGAGAGTTTAGTGACCCGATTAGGTTATATAGTAACTCTAACTACAGTAACAGTTTAGGGTGACACAGGCCGAGGGCCGAGTCAGGGCTCTAGGGCGGAAGCAGTCTACTTTTGAGATGTCTGGGTCTTTTCCTGGACAGCTGGGATCTCGGCCATCCTGTTTCTTTTCAAAAGCAATTAAAGACCAGTTAAGGGTTCGCAGGTATTACTCGTGAGTGGTGCATCCCAGGTTTAACTAATAGGGCTTCACAGGGTCCACTCCACTTTGCTTGTAGCTGATCTTCAGGGTCTTGATTTCCCTCAGCCTAGACCAGCGGTCGGCAAACTGTGGCTCTGTTGACTAATGAGTTTGCTGACCGCTGGTCTAGACTGTCTAAAAGAATGCCCAACACTCTGGACTTCTGCAGTGTAAGAAAGCACCTGTGGGTGTGGTACATCTACACAATGGAATACTAAGCTGCAGTAAAATAGAAGGAATTCTTACCATTTGCAACAGCATGTATAGAACTGGAGACCATTATACCAAGCGAAATAAATTTATCTTTAAGAGAAAGATAAATATCACATGATCTCACTCATGGAATATAATGAACAATATAAACGGATGAAAAAAAAAAAAAAACATGGAATATAATGAACAATATAAACGGATGAAAAAAAAAAAAACAGATCCAGAGACAGAGAGGCATCGATCAGACTGTTAAACCTCAGAGGGAAGGTAAGGGAAAGAGGGGGTAAGGGGGGGGGATCAACCAAAGACTTGTATGCACGCATGTAAGCCTAACCAATGGACACAGGCACCAGGGGGGTGAGGGCATGAGTGTTGGGGGGGGGAGGGCAATGGGGGGAATAAGGATATATATGTAATGCCTTAATCAATAAAGAAATTTAAAAATAATAATAATAAAAAAGAAAGCATATGTGGGGACCTAACCAGTTTGGCTCAGTGGATGGAGCGCGGCCTGCAGACCAAAGGGTCCAACTCAAGAACATGTACCTTGGTTGCAGGCTCCTCCCCAGCCCAGGCCCGGAAGGAGGCAACCAGTCTATGTGTTTTTCCTCACATCAATGTTTTTCTCTGTCTTTCCCTCTTTTTGCAACAGAAAAATATCCCCAGGTGAGGATTAACAAAAAAATAAAGTATCTGTGGGAAACAGTTTTTGGCTAGCAATATATTTACACATAAAGTAGCACCTAGAGACTGTAGACATTTTAAAGTATCTACTAGCGGCCCTGTGCACTAAAATCCGTGCCTTCTTGCAGTCTGGAAATCTTCAAGGGGATGTCCGACTGACAGTTAGGCCCACCCCTAAGTCGCAGTCTGGCCTCCCTCTGCGGGAGGTGACCAGGCAGGCCAATCAGGGGATGGCACTGGCAGGCTGATGGCCCGGCCTGCCCTGGTTGCCCCCCGCCACTGCTGGTTGCCACCACCCCCTGACTGCCACCTCCTCCTCTGCCCACTGGCACCTTGCCTTGGCTGGCCTGGTGCTGCCTGCTTGCCAGCCCCACCCCCCTCACATCTCCCAGTTCCCGTCCCCCTTACCACTCCTCTCCCCCCATCCCCACCCCCTGCCAACCAGTCATTATACTGTTCGGTTGATTTGCATTTTATGCTTTCATTATATAGAATTTTTTACAATGTGGCTGATTATTCTCAAGATTATAATAATATTCAGTCTTTTTTTTTTTACTTTGTTTTTATTGTTGACACTATTGCAAATATCTATTTCCTACCCTTTGCCCACCTCCACCCAGCCCACCACCACTTCCCTCTGGCGATCCCACACTGTACCTGTGTGAATGGGGGGTGAATATATGTGCTTTGTCTCATCCCCTCACCTCCTTTTATCCAGTCTCTCCTTCCCCCTCCCCTCTGTTCCATGTTTCTATGCCTCTGTTTCTATTTTGTTCATTGGTTGACTAGATTCCATAAAGTAAGATCATGTGACATTTGTCTTTCTCTGACTGGCTTACTTCGCCAATAATAATGACTATTCAAGCTGTCACGAAGGGTAAGAACACTGACAGAATTCAGAATCACAGGCTGCTTTTAGGTTTATCATATAATTTTCTTTTTTATATTCATCATAGTTGTGCATTGCTATGTTTGTCTAAAGGAATAAAAGGTGGCGTTTTCAACTTTAAAAAAATATTTCATGGTATTTTATTAAATAGGTATATTTCTAAATATTTACATATTTACAACGATATATAAATGTCTGTACAAAAATAGAAAAATCTCTGCAGAGCTGTGATTTTTAACAAAGTTCAACGTTTAACAATGGGGCTACTTGTGGTGTTAAATGATAGGGAGCACTTTAATTTTTTACATTTTATGCTTTAAATTGTTTAAATTTATAAGCGTTAGCAAATGGTTGATTTAAAATTAAAATACAAACTCCAAACCTTATTAACACACGTTTTCACAACATTTGTGAATAAAAACTTGTATTCACAAAGCTTCTAGGGCGGCAACAAAGGCAGGACATCGGATGTGGTGACAAGCACAAATATTCTCATTACAGAGAATATTTTTATCCCCACTGTGTGAGAAGACAACGGGATCTTTCCTTTTCCCTTGGTGGACATCATTTTAAAAGTCCTAAAATTCTTTTATCCTTGTCTTGTTTCCTCTTAGAAAAAGAAGTTAGAGCACAATTTGACCTGGGCCTGAAAGAACCAGCAAGCCTCAGGTTCTGGCAGCAGAGTCCTTCCCGTTTCTTCATTCACGTTGGGCCTCTGGGGTGGTCTCTTCGGGGCTTGAGCCAACCTTGCCTTCCAGGAGAGGTGGAAATCGTCCCGTGAAGGGCACTCCCCTGGATAAGGCTGCTGGAGAGCTGACTCCCCAGATCTCTGAGGAGCACTCTGGTCCTGAGGCCTGGGGTCGCAGGGTCTTCCGTAACTTACATGGCATCTTCATAGTCGTCATCAGTAGTGCTTGTGGTATTCACTCTGGAGTAGATGGCCGAGGGGTCCTAGAAGCACAGGCACAGGGATAAAGCCAGAGCAGGAGATACAGGGAGAGCATGCCTCCCCCCGAGGCTCCTTCCCGAGCAGCATGAAGGCACGGTGCACCGTGCAGCACAGGGATTAGAAGTTACTGGAAGCTGAAACCGGTTTGGCTCAGGGGATAGAGCATCAGCCTGCAGACTGAGAGGTCCCAGGTTCAACACTGGTCAAGGGCATGTACCTTGGTTGTGGGCATATCCCCAGTAGCGGGTGTGCAAGAGGCAGCTGATTGATGATTCTCTCTCATCAATGTTTCTGACTCTCTATCACTCTCTCTTCCTCTCTGTGAAAAATCAATTATATATATATATATATATATATATATATATATATATATATATATATTTTTTTTTTTTTTTTTTTTTTAAGAAGTTACTGGAAGACGGTGGCCCTAGGGTGGCCTTTTCAAAGGGTCTGCATTCCACTGGCGGGCTGCAGAAGGGCTGCCGATGACCTGCAAACGGATCCAAACACACAAGACCTTCTCTCATTCTTATGGGCATGGCGAGGCAGCTGGCAGGTGTTTTTGTTAAATGTCGGAATTTGGTATTCATAAACTAAATGTAGTATGCCACCTAGGGAGTAACCAAGGACTTAAATTCTGTCCTGAGACCATTGACTGTCACACCACACGTGACAAAACTACAAAGCACCCGCTGTCCCTGTATCCATGAAGATCAAGGCATTTCTGTATTTTATGAAAGCATTTTTGTATCAGTGATGTTATGAATTGTTCCAAGTTTAGAAACTAGCTATTTTTAATTATAAACATCATTGTTTAGCTTATTAATTTATATTTCTACTAGAAGCCCAGTGCACGAAATTCATGCACAGGTAGGGTCCCTAGGCCTGGCCGGTGATCAGGGATGATCGAAGCCTTTTGGCTGCTGACTGGGGCCTCCCTTTATCCCACACCGCCCCCTGGTGGCTAGCACACGTCATTGTGTGCAATTAAACTCCCAGCCTCCCAGTCAAACTCCCAAGGGGATACTTTGCATTTTAGCCTTTTATATAGAGAGATGTGTTGTTTAGTTAACCTTACAGCACCAAGGCTTGAGAGTATTTCAATGTAACGATTTTTAAATAAAAATTTTAGACTACAGTCTAGTTCCAAGTCACCCATATGTCATGGATAAAAGTATGAGAACCAGCCGAAACCGCTTTGGCTCAGTGGATAGAGCATAGACCTGCAGACTGAAAGGTCCCAGGTTCGATTCCAGTCAAGGGCATGTACCTTGGTTGCACATCCCCAGTAGGGGGTATATGCAAGAGGCAGCTGATTAATGATTCTCTCTCATCGATGTTTCTAACTCTGTATTCCTCTCTCTTCCTCTCTGTAAAAAAATCAATAAAATTATATATATTTTTTAAAAAGTATGAGAACCAGACCCCAGAAGAAAGAGCCAGGAGGAAGAACCATGGGAATTCCAACTCACCGTGCCCTGCACCCGTGTCCTCAGGGATGGAGCTGTGAAGAAAAGGGTGCGTGCTGTGAGGTTGTACTTACACTTAAAGTCCTTCACGAAGTTGGTTTTAATAAAGGCTTTTTCCCCTCCTGTCTATTGCCCGTGAATTTATTTCTATTAACACTTTTGCCTCACGTTTCTGCCTGTCACAAACACACTTCCCTTTACTCTGCGGAGAAAAAGTAACAGCCCGGGGGCAGGAAGGTGAGTAGGCCCCTCCTGGCATTCACAGCGGCCAGCACTTCTGGGCCCGCCATGTAGGACAACAGTAGCCACTGGGCAGCTGTGTCGGGTGCTGTGGGAGTCCATAGGGCTCCTCGCGGAGAGAAGCAGCAGCCACCCTCTCCCGTGTTTGCACCCGACTGCAGAGGGAGACACACACCCCTCGGTCAGGCCACGCAGCCTCGGCCCTGGGTTCTCCTCGAGGCAGATTCCAGGCCAAAGGAACCTTCAGAGAGGCCCAGCAATGCCCAGGCAGCACCAAGGGCACAGCTCTACACAGCCCTTTCTCGGTCCCAGGAAAGACAAAAGTCAGAGAAAAAGGCCTCCCCCGTGTCTTACCGGCTGCCGATTGCCGCTCCTGTTGCGTGTGGTACACCAGGGAGTAAACCTCACCTCCGCTGACAACATTCACTGAAAGAGGGAGAAAGGAGGCATTGCCACCCAGGCCCTCCTGTCTGCCACGGAAGCTGCTTCACACACACCGCCTTCTCAGCCGTGAAGACGGCTGGTGCATCTGTGTGGAGAGGCGGCCGAGCCCAGCAGGGCCAGGTGTGACTGGCAGACATGACCCTACAGCCTCTTCCCCCGCTCGCTCTCCCTGCTTTGGTCCGGATCATTGGGAATCTCACCGTTTTCGTAGATGGGCTGCTGCTGCACTGGCGCTGCTGAGTTCAGGTATGTGGATTCTCGAAGCACGGGGCTGGGAGGGCTCCTGCAAACACAGAGACTCGTGCTATCGTCTGTGATAGCAGTCCAGACGTGGCCATCTGAGATATGAGGAAGACACTGAGAGGGGCCTGTTAGGGAGAGTTCTAAGGAGCACAGTGATTTCTGGGGAATCAGCCATCCACACAGCTGTGTGGCAGAAGCCACAGCCCAACACCGGGCTGAGGAAGACCCGCCAGAGTGTCTCTGGGCAGACATCCCACAGGTGTCAGGTCCTCTCTGACTGGCTCACTGTGGCATTGCTCACACCCGGAACAGTGCCGTTCACATTACGGGTGCTCGGTAAGTACAAAATGAAGAAAATTGATTCACTCCAGACGGAAAACATGTTGCTAGGTAGAGCAAGTGTCTTGAGGAAAGAAAATAAGATCATTGTCTTGGCATGTATATGCTACTCTGATCTGGGGGGGGGGAAACACACCACAAAGAACATTATAACCTGATGAACAAAAAATAGATCCTGAGGCAGTAAAGCATTGAACAGAGAGTCAAATTATAGCGGGAAGGCTGAGAGAAGGGGAGAGATATCAACCGAAGGATTTGTATGCATGCATAGAAGCACATCAAATGGACACAAGATACTAGGGGGTGGGATGAGGGCATGTGACAGGGGGTAGGAGAGGATGGGGGAAGGTCAATGGGGGGAAGGGAGGAGATATATGTACTATTATGTGTAACACTTTAAACAATAAAATTAAATTTAAAAAATAATAAAACACCTCTTTTGGCATAAACAATAACACACACTGTAAAAATATATCAACGAAATATTGATATCCCCAGATGAAAGCATTCTAAAATTCTTTCCCTCTTCTAAAATTCTAAAGGACTTTATCATGAAAAATGTCGGTGTGTTCATTACTCTCTGGCCTGTGTTACAGAAGTGTATATTTATCTATGATACTTCACGACTCTCAAAATGTGTATATATTTTCAGGCTTTTCAGCACTGGATGGAATGACTTGTAAACCCTCAGATATTGGCGAATCGATTGAATGAATGCATTGAATGAGTCAAAGTAATATAGCTTTCTTATTCTACAGATTTCGTGAAAGCAGTAAATTATGAAGAATGATGAAAGGATTTAAATTAATTTGTCAACATATAAAAGAAGAAGAGTAGCAAATGAATATTCAAAGTTATCAGTGAGGGAACTGTGGAGTGGACGTTTTGGATATAATAAAAATATGGCTCGGCTGCCATGGCTCAGTGGTTAAGCGTTGACCTATGAACCAGGAGGTCACGGTTCAATTCCCAGTCAGGGCACATGCCCCTGGTTGCAGGCTCAATAACCAATGTGGGGTGTACAGGAGGCCCGACCAATGATTCTCTCTCGTCATTGATGTTTCTATGTCTCTCTCCCTCTCCCTTCCTCTCTGAAATCAATAAAATATATATATCTGTATTTAATATGAAGAAAGCTCTTGAGAGAGGACCATTTAATTTTTATAAAATAGATTTTTCTACACTGTCCGTGGAGACAGAGAAAGCAGAGGCCTCACCTGGGTGGATCCCTGGCTGAGCGTCTTCCTGAAAGTCAAACACATGAGCACATATCAATGGGGGACTCTCTCCATCCGTTTTTTCCACCACATCCCCACCACCTTCTAGGCTCCCGGAGCCTTGAAGGTGAGGACAGGCTTGTGCGGGGCATGTTTGCCATGCCAGCACGCCTGTCACAGATGCCACTGTGTGCCCAAGGGACAAGCTGGCAGCCATTCAGGCTGGTCCTGCATTTTGCCTATAAAGAGACTCAGGTCTGGAAGAATTAAGTGCTTTCCAATGGCAGTCAATACCAAAGCTTAGACTTGAGCTCAAGCCTTCGAAACCTTCACATCTATTATGTTTTTTTGCTTCTCATCTTACAACCACACCACCTCGTTTTATCGTGACAAGATCCCGCAGAGGAGGCACTGCCCAGCTCTGTGGTCGGCAAACTGTGGCTTGCGAGCCACTTGCGGCTCTTTGGACCCTTGAGTGTGGCTCTTCCACAAAATACCAAGGCCTGGGCGAGTCTGTTTTGAAGAAGTGGCATTAGAAGAAGTTTAAGTTTAAAAAGTTCGGCTCTCCAAAGAAATTTCAATCATTGTACTGTTGATATTTGGCTCTGTTGACTCATGAGTTTGCCGACCACTGGCCCAGCCCTATCATAAATGGGGTGAGGAGCCCAAAAGTGCAAAAAAAGCTTGTAACCTAAATGAGAAGCTCCTAGTGTCTTCTCTTGCCTCGTCTCCAACTTGGTCAGTGGAGACCAAGAAACCAAGTTAAAGGTACAAACAAATATTTAATTGCCATTGGGGATAAAGTGAAAAACTAAATAACTCGGTACTCTGTTGACGAACACTGGAAGAGAATTGTAGGCTGTGTGAAGCCTCTTGGGGGAAAATGACATGTATGCCCAGCCAGTGTGCCTCAATGGTTGAGCGTTGACCTGTGAACTAGGAGGTCATGGTTCAATTCCTAATCAGGACACATGCCTGGGTTGCAGACTCAGTCCCCAATGTGGGCCTTGCCGACGGCAGGAGAACAATGATTCTCTCTCATCGTTGATGTTTCAATCTCTCTCTCCCCATCCCTTCCTCTCTGAAATCAATTTCAAAATATGTATTTTTTTAAATGACATTTAAACTGAAAAGTGGAAGAGACCCAGCAATGGGTAGCATGTGAGGCTGTGTGGACAAGCGTTGGGGGTGGGGAGAGCATGTGATTTCAATCTAAGGTGCAAAGGAATGGATGCATTGGCTTTAGTTGGGAGACGGTCAGTATAGCTGGAACTGCTTCCGGTATTTCCAATTCAGAGGCATATTCATTATTTAAATGGTTACATTTCGTATCAAATTAAACCACAGACTCCTTAGGTATCAGCTGGATTTCAGCTGATAATGCAAAGGGGATAGGAACTTTACTAACATCACACCGCTCTGCTAGGTGCCATTCCCTGCTGCGAGCTGTAAGCAGATCTGCAGGCAGGGTGACTCCCACGATGAGTTCATTCTTTATCGTATCCGTGTCACCAAGGCAGCCTGTTTCCGTGAGAGCCAAGGTCACCGTAACAACATACCAATCTCCACAAATACTCACCTGCTCTTCTCTTGAGCCAACAGCAAACTATCAGGGCCACGGCGGTGAGACCAAGGCTGCCGAGCAGCCCCTCAAGGATGGCTGGAGGAAGATTCTCTCCGTCCTCCGCGGGCACTGAGGAGAGAGACCTGTGGGTGAGCTGCCAAGGAGAAGGACTTCGATATGAAGAGCAGACGTCTTGAGGCCAAGGTCAGCCCTCCGCAGGGGGTGGGGGCAGTGAGACAGTCATCTAGAGACTTGCAGCTCTTCACAATGATGGAAGAACCAGAGGTGCACTCAGGCATGAGGCCCTCCAGGCCCCCTCAGAGACATCCCCACCCCCACCCCAGCATCACCCACTGAACCCCATCTGGGGTATCAGCAGCAAAAATGGCCCCAATGAAGGCAGTGCAATGTTGTTAGTAGTGTTGTCTGTATCATCAGTTCACAGGCCCGTGAGCCCCTCCCAGGATGCTGAGAGAGAAGCAAAACCTTCCCAGGATGCTGAGAGAGAGGCGACACCCTCCCAGGATGCTGAGAGAGAGGCAACCCCCCCCCCCCCCAGGATGCTGAGAGAGAGGTGACGCCCTCCCAGGATGCTGAGAGAGAGGCAAAAACCCCCCAGGATGCTGAGAGAGAGGTGACGCCCTCCCAGGACGCTGAGAGAGAGGCAAAAAAAAAACCCAGGATCCTGAGAGAGAGGTGACACCCTCCCAGGATGCTGAGAGAGGCGCTGGCCAGGACCCCCCGGGGCTGAGCGGTACCTGTGAGGTGGAGGGGCACCACCTCGCTGCGCCGGGGCCCCTGGCCGTTGTCGGCCTCGCAGGAGTAGTTCCCGGAGTGGTCTGCGGTCAGGGAGAGGTTGAAGGATGCTCCCCCTCCGAAGGGGGCCGAGCGGCTCCCCAGGGGGACGTCCCCGTGGTAGAACAGGTACAGGATCGGGGGAGAGCCCCTCGCAGCCTCGCAGTGCAGCTCCACCGCCTCCCCCGCCGCCGGCTCGGCCCCCGGGGCCTTGACGGTGAGGACAGGCTGAGACACTGGAACTGAGGGAGACGGTGGGTGTCTAAGAGGGTGTCTGATCGGGGGACAGACTCACCATCTCCTCCCTCAGGGGCTCCGGCTTCCCCCGGGACGCCCCCAGAGACACTCGGAGCCCCTGTGCCAGCTCCGGCGGCTGGTGGGCAGGGAGCGCACTTACTTCCCACGGCGATGCTCACCAGCCCGCTGAGGCTGGGGCCGTGGCCGTTGTCCGCCGTACAGTAAAAGGTCTCCTCGCCTCCTCTCCCCGCTGGGACCTCAAGCTCGGCGGCCAGGGAGGGCTGGGTCTTCTCTCCCAGTGGGGAGCCCAGGGCCCCCCTGTACCAGCGGAAGGTGATGTCTCCTGTGCCCCCAGCGGCCACGCAGACCAGCACCAGCGTCTCCCCCTCCATCACGCGGCCCCCCGGAGGCCGCGTGTCCAGGCTCACGGCGTGGACGGGGACTCCTGCGGAGCACAGGTGACAGGGAGCCTGGGGAGGGCGTCAGGGGCCGGGGGGGGGGGGCCCGTCCTGGGGAGGCCCCGGAGAGTCACTCACTGTGGAGTCTAATTGGGGCGGGGCGGGGGGAGCGGCGGGGGTTCTGCTGCTTCAAACTTGGCGTTGTTTGGGTTGAAGGCGGGAGGCTAAGAAAGGCTCCATAATGTCACCACGGAGGAGGCAGCCTCGCCTCCCCCCTCGGACATGGCCCTCCCGCCACCTGCTGCCCCGCCCCCACTCATCCTCCGGCACAGAGTGCGGGCAGCGCGGCCCGCAGGTCAGACGCCTGGTCTGAGTGAAGCTTCCAGCCCTGTGCTGGGACAGGCCCGACTGAGCTCCAGGTGGGGGGTGTTTGTGTGTGTTGGGGGGAGAGGGGGACGGGGTGTGTGTGTGTGTGTGTGTAGGTATGTGTGTTTGTGTGGTGTGTATGTGGTGCGTGTGTTTATGTGTGTGTGGTGTGTGGGGGAGGGGTGTGGGGGGGGAGGGGGGGTGTGTAGGTATGTGTGTATGCGTGGTGTGTATGTGTGGTGTGGTGTGTTTGTGTGTGTGTGTCTGGTGTGTGTGTGGGGGTGAGGGGTGTGGGGTGTGTGGTGTGTATGTGTGGTGTGGTGTGTTTATGTGTATCTGTGTGTGTGGTGTGTGTGGGGAGGGTAGGGGGTGTAGGTATGTGTGTATGTGTGGTGTGGTGTGTGTGGTGTGGTGTGTGTATGGTGTGTGTGTAGGTGTGTGTGTGTGTGTGTGATGTGTATGTGTGGGAGGGATGTGGGGGAGGATGGGAGGGTGGGATGTGTGTGTGTGTGTGTGTGTGTGTGTGTGATGGGGGGGTGAGGGGTGTGGGGTGTGTGGTGTGGTGTGGTGTGTTTATATGTGTGTGTGGTGTGGTGTGTGTATGGTGTGTGTGTGTAGGTGTGTGTGTGAATGTGTGATGTGTATGTGTGGGAGGGTGTGGGGGAGGATAGGAGGGTGGTGTGTGTGTGTGTGTGTGTGTGTGTGTGTGTGTGTAGGTGTGTGTGTGAATGTGTGATGTGTATGTGTGGGAGGGGTGTAGGGGAGGTTGGGAGGGTGGTGTGTGTGTGTGTGGTGTAGATATGTGTGTATGTGTGTGTGTGTGGTGTGATGTGTATGGTGTGTGTGTGTAGGTGTGTGTGTGTATGTGTGATGTGTATGTGTGGGAGGGGTGTGGGGGAGGATGGGAGGGTGGGATGTGTGTGTGTGTGTGTGTGTGTGTGTGTGGTGTGTGTGTGTAGGTGTGTGTGTGTGTGTGTGTGATGTGTATGTGTGGGGGGGTGTGGGGGAGGATGGGAGGGTGGGGTGTGTGTGTGTGTGTGTGTGTGTGTGATGGGGGGGTGAGGGGTGTGGGGTGTGTGGTGTGGTGTGGTGTGTTTATATGTGTGTGTGGTGTGGTGTGTGTATGGTGTGTGTGTGTAGTTGTGTGTGTGTGTATGTGTGATGTGTATGTGTGGGAGGGGTGTGGGAGAGGATGGGAGGCTGGTGTGTGTGTGTGTGTGTGTGTGTGTGTGTGTGTGTGTGTCTCCATCACCAGTGCCGGCTGTGAGCAGGTCTGGGAAGCCGGGCACCTGGCGAACACTGCTCAGGGCACAATGGCACATGTTTGTCGGAGAAGGAAAGGGAGTCGGGAGCATCAGCCCTGACTGGCCACGGCAGCTGTGATTTTGAATCAGAAAACGCCTTCTTTTCCATCTTTAAAGCCAGGCCACACTCTGCCCTAAGCCCGTCCGCAACAGCCTGTCCCACAAGCCTCGCGGCCTCCGCGGGCATCCTTCTCCCCGGGTGCTTTTATTCCCGCCACTCCTGCGCCCCGCGCCCTGGGTGCCACCAGCGTGGTTCGGAGCGCTGACGAGCAGCCGCTGCGATAATCAGGGACCGCGTGTTATGCAGATTTTCTCCACTCTCCCCGCAGCTGGAGACGCACATAAAGTTTGTCCCAATGCTCTTCTGCTTGGAGGGATGGGAATAGCGAGGAGAAGGGAGGAGCCCTGAGGACTCGGACAGAGAGCAGCCCCGGTGCCGCTCCTATGTCTGCAGGAGCAGAACCAACGGACCAGCCCGCACAGCCAGGCTCACGCCCCTCGGCCGCCCGGCAGGGGCCCCAGGCACTCACTCCGCACGTGGATCTGGACTCTCCTGCTCCGGACGGTCTTCAGTGCTTCAGCAGTCCGAGCTGCACACCAGTAGGAGCCCGAATGTGCCCGCGTCAGGGCAGGGACCCGGAGCTCCGGGGAGTCGGTCCAGCTCGGCCGCAGGACGGACACGTCTTTGAAGAAGCAGAACTGGTGCTGGACTCCTACCTTCTGCAGAGGGGGCTGGGAAGCCGGGACCCTGCAGGTCAGGGTCATTGAGTTCCCCTCTACGGGCTGAGAAGGGCTGACTGTCAAAAACAGCTCTAGAGAGAAGGATGAAACACATATTCCAGGGCAGTGGCATTCAGAGTCATGTCGTATTCTTAGCGTCTGAAACAAGACCGAGAGCCTGCTCTAGCCAGCATGGCTCCGTGCATAGAGCGGCGCCTGTGGACTGTAGGGTCCCAGATCTTATTCTGGTCAAGGGCACCTGCCTGGGCTGCAGGCTTGATCCCCAGTAGGGGGCGGGCAGAAGGCAGCCGATCGCTGATTCTCTCTCCTCATTGATGTTTCTATCTCTCCCTCTCCTTTCCTCTCTGGCATCAATAAAAATAAGAAAAAGAGGGAGAACCAGCCAACGGGACAAACAGATCGCATCACCACCCACAATGGGGTCCTGGGCTTCCCTCTACCATGTGCCCACCCAACACACCTGCCTCGGCGTGGCATCGCCTCCTGCCACGGGCAACCCTGACCTCTGTTTTGGTTCTTACTCACTGAGGCGTCTCTCCATGAACTGAGAGCACCTTTTCTGGGGACAGTGCAGGGACACTGACAGCTGGCATTGGGGAAGACAGAGCTTGAAGCCTTTGGAAAAGTGAATACAGCTCACCCATCCTTGTCATAGGCCTCAGTGGTTATTTTCTTGTGTCTCCTTTCCCCTGACATCTCAGACTTTCTCTTTCAAAGACAGAATGTAGAACCTGGAGGATCTGGGAAAAGACTTGGGGAAACCCGATTCCTTCTTTACTGATTCTCTCCTGCCCTTTTTATTGTAAAAATTTATTATGAGCCGAAACCGGTTTGGCTCAGTGGTAGAGTGTCGGTCTGTGGACTGAAAGGTCCGGGGTTCGATTCCGGCCAAGGGCCTGTACATTGGTTGAGGGCACATCCCCAGTAGGGGGTGTACAAGAGGTAGCTGGTCGATGTTTCTCTCTCATCAATGTTTCTAGCTCTCTCTCTCCCTTCCTCTCTGTAAGAAAATCAATAAAATATATATATTTTTTAAAATTTATTATGAAAGAAGCAAGCATGTACTTGCTTAGAAATGTCCTCAGTCCACACGTCTACACAGCCTGTGTTCTGAGACTTTTTGTTTGTTTACTTTTTTCATAGGTACCTATGTCTGTTTGTTTGTGGGGTTGTTTTGTTTATTGTTTTTTTGTTTTCCTTTCCTTTCCTTTCCTCTTCTCTTCTTCTGAGACCCCTTTAGGAAGCCATGCTTACAAAGAGAAAATTAAATCCATATTTTGAGCCTCAGGGGTGTATGTTTTTGCCTTAGGAGTTTTTTCCTGGATGAATTGAGGATGGTTATATTTGTATTCTGCTTTCATCTCATCTCCTTATGGTGAGGAAAGAAAGAGGTATTTCTTAGGAAAATGCTTAAAATTTCCCAAATAGCAGAGGCTCTGGGGGTTGAATAAACAAACCCCTGAATGGCCAGTGCTCTCGGGATCCTGATGTTTCATGAGTTGCTGCATCAGATAAAAACGTGAGTGTCCCAGGTCCCCGAGGAGGTGTTTCCGGTTTGATATCTGTAATCTTCCCCCTGGAGTGCTGTACCCTGGGGCTTGGAGAGCATCAGCCCCAGAATGTGCGACCGGAGTTGCCCCGGGCTGGGGGGCGGGATGCACAGTGGAGTCACTGTCTCTCCTCTGATGACTGCAGTCGCTAGAGGCGCGAGGAGCAGCACAGAAGTCGGGTCTGAGCGGAAAGGGGAAGAACACAGGTACCTGGGCACCGGAGGCTGCTTTTCTGAATGAGTCTGGGTTGAGGATGGAGTAGCTATCAGAAAGCACAGTTTTCAAGGGTTTGGAGCTCAATCTTACAGCGTGGGGCTTATTTCAAACTAGAGGCCCAGGGCATGAATTCTTGCATGGGTGGGGTCCCTTGGCCTGGCCCACAATCGGGGCCATCGGGACCATCTTGCCCAGTCCCAATCAGGGCCTGTCAGGACCAGCCAGAAGGAGGGACCGCCGGAGGTTGGCTGTGGGAGCCCTCTTCCACCAGGGGCCGTCCCTGTGTTGAGCATCTGCCACCTGGTGGTCAGTGTGTGTCATAGCTACTGGCCGGTCATCCAGTTACTTAGGCTTTTATATATATATAGATAATTCTCAGACGCAAAGGCTCATGGGAAATTCCTGGTGGCAGAAACTTTCATCACCCGGGGCGTGGCTTAGGCGAGGACCAGGCACTTGTGTGCCTTCACAGGAGTTAAAACGGGGCCAAGAACAAGACACCGTGGCATCAACCGGGCGTGGGTTAGACTTGGACAAACACCAGCCGAGGGGCCCAGCTGGAGGAGTCGGCTCTGAGTATCTCTCCTCACAGGAACCCGAATCTGGGGTTCCCTCGCTGTATGTGCAACCTGTGTCCCTGATGGGACAGCGCAGCCTTATTTAACTTTGTGCTCAGTATTTTATATACAAAAAAAAAAAAAAAAAAAATTCCGCCGAAACCGGTTTGGTTCAGTGGATAGAGTTTCGGCCTGCAAACTGAAGGGTCCCGGGTTCGGTTCCGGTCAAAGGCATGGACCGGCATGGACCTTGGTTGCGGGCACATCCCCAGTAGGGAGTGTGCAAGAGGCAGCTGATCGATGACCCTCTTTCTTTCTTTTTTTTTTTTTTTTTAATATATTTTATTGATTTTTTACAGAGAGGAAGGGAGAGATATAGAGAGCTAGAAATGTCGATGAGAGAGAAACATCGACCAGCTGCCTCTTGCACATCCCCTACTGGGAATGTGCCCGCAGCCCAGGTACATGCCCTTGACCGGAATCGAACCTGGGACCTTTCAGTCCGCAGACCGACGCTCTACCACTGAGCCAAACCGGTTTCGGCAGATGACCCTCTTTCATGGATGTTTCTAACTCTCTCCCTTCCTCTCTGTAAAAAAAAAAAAAAATCAATAAAATATATTTAAAAAAAAAAAAAAAGTTCCGACACATGTTAGGTTTAAACACACTTCAGTGAAATACTTCTTCCATGGCCTCCTCTCTCCATCTGGTAAAGGTCAGGCTTTCAGTGAGGATCAGAACAACGAAGCACGTTTGCAGAAATCAGAGTCCAAGAGAGGAACACGCTGGGTGACCGCTGAGGCAGCCTCAGAGCTAACACTGGGAAGGAGTCGCAGTGCTGTTTTACACTGTAGGTGGCCTCGGGTGGGCGGGCTGTGAGGTGCTCCCCAGGGTATGTGACTCCTCTCCCTCCTGGTGTAACATCGGCTGAGGAGTACACTGGTGCCTCGGAGCTCCTGAGGCTGCGAGGGCAGAGATTCTTCTAAAATCATTCTTTAGCCGAAGCCGGTTTGGCTCAGTGGATAGAGTGTGGGTCTGCGGACTGAAGGGTCCCAGGTTCGATTCCGGTCAAGGGCATGTACCTTGGTTGCAGGCACATCCTCGGTGGGAAGTGTGCAGGAGGCAGCTGGTGGATGTTTCTCTCTCATTGATGTTTCTAACTCTCTATCCCTCTCCCTTCCTCTCTGTAAAAAATCAATAAAATATATATATAATAAAATAAAATAAAATCAGTCTTTGAGGGAGGGTGGTTGGGTGGGAGGTAACCAACCAAAGATCTTCTATGCCAAACCCATGGGCCCAGTCAGTGCGGTGGTGAGGGCCTGGGGCGGGGGCGGGCTGGAGGGAGTCAATGGGGTAGAAGGAGACATATGTGATACTTTCCACAATAAAGAATTCTGAAGACAATTGTTATAAAAATATATAAATAAAAATAAAATCAGTCTTGGGCACCCATGACTTCTGTGTGCAAGCAGCATATCCCTCCCTAAGCTGGGACTTCCCGGGGGGGAAAAAAGACTGTGGTTTTGAGGTCAGACCAACACCTGCTCCCCAAGCTGAACATGCAAATATCAGGTGTCACAGAAACAGGTGAACACAGCAGCCTGGGCCTGAGGGGCCCCGGTTATTTATACACCTCGGAGGCCGTCACCAGATGTCAGACAGCCACCCACTGGCCTCCGGGGTGGGCCCACGTGTCAAGGTGCCCACAGACCATGGAGAGGAAGAAAGGGAAGTGCAACTCACCTGTCGGTTCACAGCGCTGAGCTGGGAGGGAATTCGGCAGAGGTCAGAGGTCAGTGCAGAACACCAAATGCAAAACCAAATGCAAAACCCACACCACACTTAATCTCCCAAAGAGCTTCCCAACAACAGACTCTCCTCCCCCCACCACCACCACATCTCTCCCTGCCTCTTCCTTTACTCTTTCTCTTCCCTTTCTTCCCTCCTCCCTCCCTTCCTGCTGGTTTTTACCCTGCCTCCCTCCCTTCCTTTCTTCTTTCTCTCCATTCCTTTTCTCACATTCCACATCACCCGTAAGACACCTGCCCATAAGCAGCACAGAGCTCATTTATGATCATAAAAGCCATTTCCAAGGACTTCTCTCACTTATGACTACAAGATGGAGCCTTTGCTTTAGAACTATTTCGCAGCTCCCTTCTTCAAGCCCCTCACTTCCAGGTCCCTCTCTCAAAGGCCGAGAGGACTCAGCTCTCATGCTGCCTCGTGTAACGGTAGACAGGACAGGAGAGTGGGAGGCGCCTGCTCAGGCCCGATCACCACTGACACTCACCCCCATGGGGAGCCGGGCTCTCCAGCCCGATGGTAAGAGGCTCTTCCTCTTACTCGCTGTGTCGCCCTGAGAAAAAGGTCCCATCTCCCTCTACGCTCCTTTGCTGAAGAAATGGGGACAATAACAGACTTGCCTCATAGAGTTTTGTGAGAATTAAGTAAGTTGATAGCCGTAAAATGCTTAGAATGGTACCTAGAACTTGTTTAACATTCAATAAATACTCTCTCGTTATTATTGTCATCTATTTAAGCCCATGGTGGCTGAAATGCCTTCTTTTTAAAGGTTAAATGTTTATCATTTAAGAAATTAGTTCCTCGGGTCAACATACAGGTGGTGGATAGAAGAAAAAGTTGGATAAAGGCTTACATAGAAATCACATTTTCTTTCTTCAGCTATACAACAAATACTATATACGAAGCACTGTAGATGGCACATTGTAGGAATAAAGATGAATGGTAGTCTTTGTTGTCAACATTTTACATTTCAGAGGAAGAGAGCCAATAAGGAAAATAAGTCAGAGAAATAAGTTACTGATGATCTCCTGATGGTCTTGACTCTCTAGATAGATGTCAATCGGGGAGAAACCTAAATGAAATTAGAGTGAAGGCCTACTGAGCATTTGGAAATGATCCTTTCTGGAGGAGACACAGAGCCCGGAAAGACATTAAGAAGGCATAATCTCTCCCCCCCCCCCCCCCCCCGGTGGGATTAGAAGGCCAGAGCATCTGGAATTGACCAGGGGGACTGACAGTGGTTGATATTGGTGTGAGAGCAGTAAGCAGGAGCCAGTCGGGGGATTTCTGGACTTGGTAATAGTTTGGGATTTTTATTTTAGACTAGAGGCTCAATGCATGAAATTCATGCAAGAGTAGGCCTCGATCCTCCAAATTAAGACAGTTCTGACTTAATTTGCATTTGTAAAATCACCCTTACACTGTGAGAAGAATAAAGTACTGGCGTACAGAGGAGACAGGGAAAACGCTAGTGGGAGTTGAATCTGAGTGACGATAATCAGGGCCCAGGTTAAGTAGTACTGGTGCTGTGAGGTGGCCAGATTTCAGTGTACATTTTGAAAATACAAGTGACTCGTGGATCAGATATAAAGTATAAGAGAAAGAGAGGAGTTAAGTACAACTCCTAGATTCTTGGCAATGGCGACTGGAAAAGTGGTGGGGACGTTTATGAAAATGGAGAAATCATGGGGAGAAACAGGTTATGCTTTCAGTGGTGATCACTTGGAAGAGCAGAGGATCTGTTTGGATATGCTGAGTTTAAGATACCACCAGACAGCTGAATGGCCATTGTATACCTGAATATTGTTCAAAGGAAAGATCAAATTTGGAGAAATAAGGCTGATTTTAAGTATTTTAAGCTTGAAATGAGATAAAAAGTGACCAAACTGTATAACTGGCAGAAGTGAGTAGGAATGGAAAAGAGAAATCTGGGTACCAGCCTTAGAAGGTGAAACATTTTGAGATCAGTAAAGAAGCAGATTATGAGTTAAAAGGAATGATAGAATATAGTGTTCCGGAATATAAGCAAAAATGTATAACAGAAGACTGAGTGATCAACTATCAGATACTCCTGAGAGGGTGAATAAGATGAGAAATGCAAACTGAATCCTGAATGGGCACCTTACGGGTGGTTGATATTAGCAAGAGTGGTTTTAAAGGTGTGCTGGGAATTAAAGACTTATTTAAGTGAGTTTAAGAAAGCAGAAGAAGGAATGTTAAGGAGCTGGAATAGTATAGAAGTTTCCAGGAATTAGAAAGGAGGGAGTATTTGACTGTAAAGAGAGGACTGAGGAAATTTTTGAAGTGGTGAAATTTATTGAAGTTGTGGAAATGTCCTGTACTTTGATTGTGCTGGAGGTCACATGATACTAAGTCTCTGTCAAACATCATAGTGTATTGAAAAAAGTAAAGCTTATGCTCATGTAAATTAAAAATAAAGTTTTAAACCAGGATTGGATGATATGAAGTCAAGATAGCAACTTATGGAAAAATGTATCAAGGGAGGCCGAGGCATGGTGGAGACATTGAGAAGTCACATTTCTATTCTTTTCAGATGAGATATATGATGGGAATAACCCAGATGAAAAAACGTTTTGAGGGGATCTGGCACCAGAGGCACAAGCGGGGAGTCCTGTCTCTGATAGGATGAAGAACAATACATTCATGACAGGGGAAGAAAAGACAGGTACGCAACTCTAGAGGTGGGTGAATTGATATAGACACAGCAATACAATGAGGTCACGTTCTTCTGGTGGCTTTTATTTTCCTAATGAAATATTAATCGAAACTATAAACTGGGACTAAGAAGAGAGAAAATTGAGAAGAAAAGACTAGGTACCACACAATGGTCAGCAGGAATGGAAGAGCATTGATTGAGAAGGTGCAGAAGGATTGCCTGGAGCGGCTGATCACGGGCAGCCCTGCGTGTACAGGGAGGTCGGTTGACAGGACTGTGCCTTTGGCATGAAGTCACACTCAGCTGCTCGGGCACGGGTGTGAAGCGTGCAGAAAACTGTGTTAATCAAGAGACTGCTGTGGGGGAAGAGAAAGGAAGGCATATGCAAAGGAGCATTGTGATGGACTGCAGAGTCTAAGCTGACTACTGTGAGAGGAGAGGGTGCAGAGCACAGTGATTCACGATGGAAACGTCATTCTGGGGAGCTGGAGACAGAGCGTGAGAGACCGTGAGCTGAGACACAGTCTGTTAGTTGTGTGGGGGAGGGGGGTTGATGCTGAAAACAATGATTTTGGAAATAGGGCGGTTGTTAGTAACGTTCTAGGGATTGATGGTAGGAATGGAAGGTCATACAAAAAGACAAAGATAAACAATGTTGATAGAAAGAAGGGCAAAGAACGGAGAGACCCATTTGTTGTACAAACTATCTTTGTGGCTATTGAAAATACCAAAGATAAAATCATCAATTAAAAGTAGAAAGACAGCCCGCTGGTATGGCTCACTGGTTGAGCATCAACCTATGAACCAGGAGGTCAGGGTTTAACTCCCAATCAGGGCACACGCCCAGGGTGTAGGCTCCGTCCCCAGTGTGGGGCATGCAAGAGGCAGCCGATCGATGACTCTCAGTCATCACTAATGTTTCTAATTCTCTCTCTCCCTTCCTTTCTGAAATCAATAAAGAATATATAGAAATAAATAAAAGCAGAAGGACAGATGGCGAACACATCCTATGAGATAAAAGCTAAAATGATAATTTTCTTTTTATAAATCTGGCTTTCCTGTATCTACCACTTTCTGCCCGACTCCACCCTCCGTTGGAAGTAGAGATCTAAGCATCCCTACTTAGATCTACGCTAATGTAAATTAAAAACGCTAATGTAAATTAAAAATAATTTACACGGCCAGGCAGAGTCTTATCCTGCGAGTCCCACAGCTCTTCAGAAGACAGAGCCCCCGGGCGATGGAATCCCATACTCCGATCTGCGTTGTCCTACTCACCACAGAGCAACAGCAAGAGCTTCAGCAGCATGAGGGCAAGGTCGGGGACTGTGATTCGAGATGCTCTCTCACCAAGAAAAGCATTTACCTCAGAGTGAAGAGGTGGGTTCCTCAGATGTTTGAGGAAGTCAGGACCGGAAATTACAAAAATAGAAGAAGAAACAAGAGTGTTCCAGTGGCCAGTTTCTATTCTCTGTCCTGTAGAGGCGGGAAGATGAAAGATGCCCTGCCAAGCCTCAGTCAGGATGCTGAGGGCCAGCCGGGAGCAGCAGCTGATAATGACTTGCACGCGAGAACCTCCCGGAAGGCCAGGGACCAGCACACCACGTGGCCAGATTTGGACAAAACCAGAGCAAAATCCAACAAGCTCCACAAATAACGGATGGAAAGGATTGAAAACTAGGAAGAGCGGCAGGCTCACAAATGTGTGGAGAACTCCACTCTGTTAATCTTTTCTTTATTTGTTCACTTATATTTTATTTTTTCATTTATTTTCTTTCTTTACTATTTCTGTTTTATTTATTATTTATCTCTCTTCTTTCCTTATCTATTTTTTCTCTTTCTCTTCTCTTTTTCTGTTGTTCTTTTATTTAATACTAGAGGCACCGTATTAAATAGGTGCATGAATTTGTGCACCTTGAAGGGGACTGTGGGGCCCCACGGTTGTGGTGGGCACAGGGGCAGGTCTCGGCCCACCCAGGAGGGACCACAGTGTGCAGGAGCAAAGAATTTTCAGCAACCAGCAGAGGCTTGCCCTGATGGCAGCAACAGGTGCCCTACCTTGGTCTGGTGCCCTGCTCACCTGCTCCACCATCCCACCATGGCCAACACCTGCCATGTTCCTCACAGCCCCCGATGGTCAGTACACGTCATAGCAACTGGCGTCGGGGCCATGGCGGAGCCCCCAGGAGCCTTCCTGACCAGAGGGAGCAGCGCTGACGCGTGCTCAGGCCGGCACAGGCAGGCCTTTCTCCCAGGGAGAGAGGGAAGCGGGCGGAGCACTGAGGTGTTAGCACAGAGAAACCCCACCCGGATGCAGCTCTGACACACAGCGAAGCAAAAAGGCACCCCAAACGTGCCCCAGGGAGTCCCATTTGCATGAGGCCACCCAGCCCCATAAAGAAAGGCCAGGCAGCGTGCACACACCAGGCTCCCCTGCCCGGAACTCACCCCTTCATTCCAGGTGACGTGCCAGGCACCACACAAACCTGACTTCAGCCCTAGCCGCTTCGGCTCATTTGGGTAGAGCGTCGGCCTGCAGACTGAAGGGTCCCGGGTTTGATTCTGGTCAAGGGCACATGCTCAGGTTCCATCCACAGTAGGGGACGAGCAGGAGGCAGCCAATCAATGATTCTCTCTCATCATTTATGTTTCTCTCTCTCCCTCCCCTCTCTGAAATCAATAAAAATATATTTAAAAAAAACAACAACAACAAAAAAAAACACCCTGACTTCAACTGGCCTCCACAACTATTCAACACACAGTCCACTCAGAAACGATCCTTGAAGACTGGGAGAGATACACCATATAGGAACAAACACAGAAAGTAAAATGAAATTGAGAGTCAGAAGAATATATCCCAAATGAAGGAACAGGAAAAACTTTAGAGAAAAGCCCTCATACAGTGGTCGGCAAACCGCGGCTTGCTCTGTTGACTAATGAGTTTGCCGACCCCTGCACTAGGCTAAACGCTACCGTGTAGTTGGAAGCTGTGAGGATTAGGCAATTGTGACATATTGTGTGCAAAGAGGTAAAGGGTAGTATATGACAGTGGTCGGCAAACTCATTAGTCAACAGAGCGGCATGTGGCTCTTGAGCGCAGTTTGCCAACCACTGCCCTAATATAATGAGACGAGAGGCCCAATGCATGAAATTCATGCAAGAGTAGGCCCTGCTTTCCCCAGCTGCCGCACCAGCTTCCCTCCGGCACCCAGGACCGGGGCTTCTCCCCCAAAGGGAGGCCCTGCCCACCCACCCAGCCCATCAGTCAGTGGCCTGGGCCTCCCTCTGCAGGGCGATCACGGGGCAACGGCCAGGCTCACAACCAAGCGCATTGCACCCGCCCGGCCTGTGCCAGTGGGTGTCAGCGTGGTCCCGGATGGTGTTCTGGATGGTCGTCCGGCTGTTTGGCCCTTTGGTTGATTTGCATATTATGCTTTTATTATATAGGATACGTAATGTTCCTGATCAAGAATTCAAAGAGGAGCCCTAGCCAGTTTGGCTCAGTGGATAGAGCATTGGCCTGTGGACTGAAGGGTCCCAGGTTCAATTCTGGTCAAGGGCACATGTTCGGGATGTGGGCTCAATCCCCAGTAGGGGCCATGCAAGAGGCAGCCAATCGATGATTCTCTCTCATCATTGATATTTCTATCTCTCTCCCTCTCTCCCTTCCTCTCTGAAATCAATAAAAATAGATATAGATATTTTTAAAAGAATTCAAAGAGCAATAATCCAACATGGATGCTCCCAACACCACACAGATTTGTGGCTGAACTGCAGGGCAACTGCGGTGAGAAAATAGTGGAAGTGAAACTGGTGTGAGATATTGTGAACAGGAAACGCAGAGAAAAGACAGAGCCACCTCTTACAGGTCCTCGGTACCCCCTCAGAGCAAAGGTCTGTGGGCGAAGGGAGAGCGGGTCAGAGCAGAAACATTCAAGGGGGAAGACCTGCGGCAGACGCAGCCTCTGAGCTTCAGAAGACCCGCCCCCGGGGCTGTCTGGGTGGCTGGAAGCCAGGCAGGGGCAGTGACTGACAGGAGTTGCACCATAGAACCTACTGGGAGCCTGTGAACGGCACACCAAGGGCCGGCCTAGCTTCTGAGCAAAATACACTGAGTGACGCGAATAGCAGATCCAAAGGGTGTACACAGAGGCTGGCATCCGTGGAGCCGAGCTCCATCTTTTTATTCCCTTTTTATTTCTTTGTTATTATTTTGTATATAATCTTCTTGTTTTGTTTTTTTTAGATTTCACTTTGTTTCTGCTTCTCTTTTTCCTCTCATATTCCTTATTTCTATTTCCTTTTCTCCATCCATATTTCTTTCCCTATATCTTATTTTATTTTATTCTGTTTTTCTCTTGCTATTCCATATAGTTTTTACTCATTATTCCCTTTTAAAAGTATTAGTATTTCACATATATATTTCTCTTCTTTCTTTCTATTCTTATTTTTCTTTCTTTCCTATGCCTTCTTTTTTACATTCTCCTCTTTCATTTGCTTCTTTTTCCTTTAATTCTTTTGGCCTTTTGCATTATAATATTCCTTTTTATTTCCTTTTCTTCTCGTTTCTTATTTTTTTGTGTTGCTGGTGGGGTTGTTTTGGTTTATATTATTGGTTTGCTTGGGGGTTTTGTTTGTTTGTTTGTTTGTTTGTTTAACTGAGCTTACCCAACCGACCCAGACGGCCCTAGAGTGGAGGCGGTGAACCATCAGGGTCCCACCAGTCCCAGGGGAACGGAAACTCCTGGACAGCATTGCTCTTGGCTAAGCAAACGCAGGAAACGCCTTGTGTGCTGGGACCGAGTCCCCAAAGGAAGGACAGCGCCTCCTCCTGGCCATGCCGTCCCGACCCGCAGAAAACCCAGCCACACGCGTGGCCTCAGCACCACCCCCAGGACCTGGGCGTTAGACGTCGTGAGCGCTCACACTGGGTTTGGGGTGACGGGGTTTGGGGTGACGGGGTTTGGGGTGACGGGGGGAGGATGAGTCTCCTCCCCTGACAGCCTGAGACCGGTGACCCACACGTGCACCCTCTGAGCCCAGACCGGAGGCAGCCTGGGTGCTGCCGGTGAGGACACAGGGTTGCAGGGTTTGAAGGATCGGCGCCGGCCCCAGGCCGATGGGCACCGAATCCCGGTCCGGCCTGTGGTTGCCTTGCTGCTCGCCCAGGGCTTCCAGGACCGCCTGCCTGGGGCTCGGTTCCGCCCGGATGGACCCGGACTTCTTGGGCAAACACATCCCGGAGGAAGGGATCTTTCCAGCCCATCCCCAGAGTCCTAGCCCCGGACCCACCCCACCCTCTGCGGAGCCCCCTCCTCAGCCCTGACACCGGGTTGACAGGCGGAGTGGGAGCCGCTGGGTGCGGGGAGCGCAGTGACAGGCGGAGTGGGAGCCGCTGGGTGCGGGAGTTTGGCTTGGTTGCTGGGAGGATGCCCTCAGGCAGGGGTCCCCAAACTGGAGCTTTTGCCGCATCGCCGGCGAGCCGGAGCCAGGCCGCTGGGCCCCGCCGAGTTCGGGGACCCCAGACCTAACGAGGCTGGGAAGGTGCGTTTCCCGCAGGTGCCCAGGCGACCTGCTGTCTGCCCTGGCACCACCCTGAGAGTAACTGGCGGCCTATCGATCCTCTCAGAGATGGTTAGCGAGATAAAAAAGAGATTAAGGCATATTTACAAAAAAAAAAAAAAAAAAAAAAAAAAAAAAAAAAAAAAAAAAAAAAAAAGGAGGACTAGTGAATGAGGAGTTAAAAGGAATGCAGAGGAGCCTGCGGGCCGGTGCCAAACTTGGCTTCCGTTCACCAGCTTCACCTACACCGTCCACCCACAAGAAAGAGATTTATCGGGAACAAACGCAAAGCCAACCTCAGGCCCCAGCGGAGAGCCAAGTTCTCCGGGGCATCAGTAACTCACTCCGTGCCCGTGGGATCAGCGCCCCCCTCCGCCCCCCACCCCACCCCGCGGCCGCCCGTGTCCAGCTGGTCAGGCAACCCCAGCCACCTCCGCAAGCTTCCTCTTCCCAGCCCTGGTCCTGGCTCCGCCTTCTCCTTTCTACCTCCACTTCCCCCTTTTTCTTTCTTTTTTTTTTTTTTTTTTTTTTTTTGTTTTGTTTTGTTAAATTTGGGGTGAATAGAGACAATTCAATTTTTTAAAAAAACAAACATCCAACAGGAGAGAAAAAGGGATGCGCCCAACGTGGGGCTCGAACCCACGACCCTGAGATTAAGAGTCTCATGCTCTACCGACTGAGCTAGCCGGGCACTTCCGGAGGCTGCCTGGTAAAAGTTCAACTTAATGTCATTCCCGCCAACAAGCG